GTATCCTGACAGGCAAAGTAGATGGATAGGGCTTCAGACTCCAGTAACACAAGCTTGGAGAGTCAGGAGAAAAGATTGATAGAGAAGGAAAATGTGTGGGTTTGCAGATAACCTGGAAGTAAACTTTGTAAAGTGATAAAAAACAACAACTATTTTCAATTTATTATTAGGTAAATAGGTGTTGGCAGATCCAAAGGCTGAGGTGAAGGACTTACCTTGACAGATTATTGCCATTTGCACTAAAGCAGAATTTGAGCTATAAATCTAAGCAAACTCTTCAGAACATAGATAGTCCTACCATCAGAAATGAAATGTCACCGAGTTTATGAAGAACTCATGCAAAGAGAAAAAAAATATATACAGCTCCTTCAACTCTGCAAGAGGGCTCTAAACCAAATTTGAACTGTAGGATGACTTCTATGGGGGCTGGGGAGACAGCTCTGTGGCATTAGTGCCTGCCTGGCAAATGTAAAGTCCTGAGTTTAACCCCTGGTACCCCTCCCCCAAAATGGATGAGTTCTAGGGTAACTTTTGTGATCCAGGACAGATGTGCAAAAAAGCAAGGGGGAGAGATCGAAACTCTGGTCACTTGAGGTCACAGCCTGCAGACATATTGTACTTTGTCCTCCATCTCCAAAACAGCATTGCTCAGAAATCAGTACTGAGCCAGCCCTGGGCTGTGGATGGGAGGAAGAAAATCAGAGATCAGTGTGAGCTGGGCTATTTGTGGACTGTGTAGCTTGGGCAAGTCTCTGCAGCTCTGCAAACCTGTTTCCTCATCTGTAAAGTCTTCAGATGAGCTCATTTTTAGACCTCTAAGAAGGATCAAACGAGAGCCTATTTATGAGTAGTTCTCAAGTTCTGAGTGCATCTGTATGACCTTAAGGCATGCTTCAGCCTTGGCCCTTGGTACCAGTGGGCTTCTTCTCTTTGCTCTTCTGCCTCCTTCTCTTTTCTTGTTTTATTTCAGACAAATTCTTACTGTGAGAACTTGAACTGACCATGTAGCTTCAGGTGGCCTGGAACTCACAGCAATCCTCCTCCTGCCTCAGCCTTCTGAGTGCTGAGTTTACAGGCAATCCAGCATGCCCAGCCTGAAAGGTTCGAATATGTAGCTACTTTGGTGAACCACAGACCTATTGCTGAGGCAGTGCTCCACAAAGTAGCCTCAAGGATCACCTGAGGACTGTGCCAAAATGCAGATTTCGACTGAGCAGTTGAGAGCCTACGGGCCTGCATTTCTAGCAGGCTCTCAGTTATGTGGAGCTGCTCTCAGTTGGGTGAGCACGGCACCACCGAGCAACTGAAACCAGCTCCATGTTTTCACCATGAAAGATAATTACATTGACTTCCCTGGACCCTGAAAAGGCATTACAGCATCCCTATGATAAACATCACCAGATGAGGGCCTGCAAGTTTCCTTATTATCTTATTAAGTGTAGAAAGAATCATCCTGTTGCAAACAAGTTGGCTACCCATCCCTTCAATGCTCACCATCAGGTTCCTGGGGCCGAAATCAGTCACATATCTCAAGCTGTGACGACTAGTTGTATTGAGTGGGACCGGTCAAGCAACAGGCTCTGGCTGAGAGCACATTGCAGGGCTCCCCGTGCAACAAAGAGGTGATTTATGGAAACAAACTAACTCATTTTTCTGGGACACAGCCAGCGTCCCTTGTAACAACAGTCCTGCTAGTAACATAATTACAAAACATCAGGGTATCCTGGCTCTGGGCAGGTGAGCTCCCAAAGCCCTGTCATATGTACTGCCAGTGAAAAGCAGCCCAGCTGCACAGCAACTGAGCATCTTTCTCAAATGCCTAGAAGTCCCTAGAAGACTCTGCTTCTTCCTGCTACCCGAGCTCATTTTTTCTCATCTGAGAGTAATAAAAAGTGTCTGTGACTCTCAAACCGACAAGTACCTTTCCCCCCCTCCACTCTTTAAGTCCTCACTAATGTAAGAGCCCCCATATTCAAATCTTTGGACTACTCTGGTTTTGTTCAGAATCTTCAGGCCATGTCACCGCCTGAGTATTTCCAACATAGGTTAGATCTGTTTTACTTATCTCCCCACATTCCAGCCAGGAAGTGTACAAGCTGTCCAATAAGGTGTAGAGTAGGTAGGGATGAAGACTGGAGTGAAGACAGGAGAGACGTGTTTTCCATCTGCGTGTGACATCTGATGAAACTTCAGGACTTTCATGTGCGAAGGAACTGGTGACTGCCCTGGGATGTGGGGATAATGGTTTGTATTTCTACAACACTGCAGGCTCTGGCTATCCTAGCACCTTATGGTCCCTTCTAAAGAGACTTCATAATCTCCAGAGACCTGTCTTTGTGGGAGTTTTTTATTATTGTTCTTGCTGTGTTTTTGTCCTCTAGTGTAATAGACTGAACCCAGGCCTTTGTGCTTATTAAGCACATGCTGTATAACTGACTTCCACCTCCAGCCTTTCAAGACCATTTTTATTTTCAGCTTTAGTTTGATTGGG